AAAAGGCATTCATGGTGCCCTCAAAAAACCTGGAAGTAAAAGTACAAAGGTCTGTCTCTAACAAAACTGTGATAGGCAGGATGCAGCAGTTAAGCTGACCTTCAGAGAAAGACAGGGTTAATCTAGCTTTTGTATTTAACTGGCAACTGTAAAACCATCCATGAGAGGATAGTTAATCTAGCTTTTGTATCTGGCAACTGTAAAACCATCCATGAGAGGATTAACCCTTTACTTTTCACACAATACAAACTATAGCCACTTGAGTCTGCAGAACTTTCAAGTAAAGCATTACCACTTCTACATGGTAACAGTACCAAACTCTCTGTTAACATAAGGCATCCAGGAAAGTTAGCAGACTATCCTCCAGGCAACCAGAATGTTCCTCCCTCGTTCTTGAGAAAAGATGAAATGGTGATTAGGTAGCTTGAATGCTGCAAATCAGCTGTTCACAGCATCCAGAGTCTGGGAGGGAGGGTGAGGAGCAGGAAAGAAGCACGAATCAGCAGCTCCGAGCTGTTCCAGAAGTGCTGGGAGGAAGGGGGAGGAATAGTAAGTGTGGGGCTCCAGTGCCAGAGATAGATGTGGGGGAGAGGGGCAGAGAGGGGGTGCACGAGCTGCACGTGGAACCCCCGTGGGCCATGGGTCTCAGGCAGCCCACCGCTAGATTATGCAGTCCACTGAAACAAAGGAGTGCCACTCACATGGTTTATTCGCTAGCCTTGGTTGCCCATCGCTGAGCTAGAGAACCCGTAAGGAGTGTGGTTGAAATGAAGACGTTTGGGATGCTTTTGCTCAATACAGTTTAGTGTTTCTCTTTTAGACACGGTATCTTACCAAATAAAACCATCTCCGTTCCCTCTGGGAAAGGTTCCACTGTTCTGTTTCCATTGACGTGGTGTTTAGCTAGAAGACAAGAAAAATATAGTAGAATATCAAATCGCTATGGAAACACAAATATGCTTTTCAAAATGGCTCTAGGGAAGCCTGAAATCTGACTGGTTAATAGCTATGGCACAGGTGCACATTAAGTTTTGCTCACTCATCTGTATGTCAAAAATATATATCAATTCACCTCTCAGCACTGACTGCTAGCCGAGAAGAAAGCCTGTACAACCTCAGCGATGTCTGTGATTTTAGATAAGAAGGAGCTGTTTTCCCAGAGGTTCTAAACCCCACAGTTCCCATGGACAAACCGGAGTTTCACTTGGCTTTTATATTTAGGGCAACTTATCTATTTCTAAAGGGACACAGCGTGAGCATTGTATAAACATGAATCATCATCAGTCAGTTACAAGTGAAGCATTTTTAAAAGAGGAAAAGTGTCCTGTCCAGAGAAACAGGAAATAGTAAGCCTGTATTGCAGCGGTTCTCAAACTTTAGCAACCCAAAGAGCCCTATATGGATTTACAAATTTTTACGGACCCCTAAGTGGGCTTCTCATTTTCCCTAGGAGTGATCAACCCCTGCTGAGCCCAAGCCCCTGTCCCCATTCCCCCAAGAGCCCATCTCTCCCCCAGCCCCTCCTATTCACCACCTCTTTTAGCCTCCTCCCTGCTCCACTGTCTCCTGAACAGCTAGTCCGCAGCATGCAGTTGGAACTGGGAGGAAGGGAGAGGGAGAAGCTGATCAGTGGGGCTGGTGACATGGGACATGATTTGCAGACTCCTTGGAGTACTCTCATAGATCCTCAAAGGTCCACAGACCCCAGTTTGAGAACCACAGCAGGATGACAAGCTTTTTGACGTGTGAATTTTGACTTTTTTCCATATTCCCAATCAGTAATCTAAATTAAAAATTCACACTTCATGTCCTAATGTCACATTAATTCAATAAAGATCACTTCAATAATACGCAATAGCCACAGAATCCTAGACTGGAAGAGAGCATGAGAGGTCATCAAGTCCAGTCCTGTGCACTCATGGCAAGACCAAATACCATCTTCTAGATCATCCCTGATAGATGTTTATCTAACTTACTCTTAAATATCTCCAGTGATTGAGATTCCACAATCTCCCCATGCAATTTATTCCAGTGTTTAACCACCCTGACAGTCAAGAAGTTTTTCCTATGGTCCAGCCTGATCCTGCCTTGTAAAATTTTACTTCATGTCCTATCATCAGACGTTAAGGAGAATAATCTTTCTCCCTCCTCCTTGTAATACCCCTGAAAGCTTCTATCGTGTTCATGAAAGCTGTTCTCATGCCCCCTCTCAATCTTCTCTTTTCCAAACTAAACAAACCCAATTCTTTCAGTCAGCAGCGGCCCGAGGCCGGCTGCAGCAGCTGGCGCCCTAGGCGGGGTGGCACAATCGGCACGGCCATCAATGGCTATGACATCATCATCGGGCACCCGGGGCAGCGGCGCCCTAGGCAACTGCCTAGCTCGCCTAGGCTCACGGGCCGCCCCTGCTTTCAGTCTTCCCTCCTAGCTCATGTTTTCTAGATCTTTAATCATTTTTGTCGCTTTTCTCTGGCCCTTCTCCAATTTCTCCGCATCTTTCCTGAAGTGTGGTGCCCAGCACTGAACAGACTACTCCAATTTAGGGGAAGAATTACTTCTTATGTACTGCTCACAACACTCCTGTTAATACATCTACTTTAGAGATTACCCATACACCTCATTCCACGAGGAGTAACAGTAGTTCGGAATAGCGAGCCTAATCCAAACTACCTACTCCATGCCGCATGTAGCCGCGGGCACGGAGTCCGCACTAACGGGCATTTAATAATGGCGGCGCCCGGCAAGATGCAAATGAAGCCCGGGATATTTAAATCCCAGGCTTCATTTACAACTTCGGATGCCTACATTAACCACCCTAGTTCGAACTAGAGTGGTAGTGTAGACATACCCATATTGATTATTACCCTTTATACATAGTGTACAACCTACTGTGAGCAAACCAAGTTGAACAGGTGTATTGTATTGTTTTAGGAATTCTCTCATATGAACATCTTCCATTAGCAGTCAGGTGTATTGCAGAAGTAATCCCAGCCTGGGTCAAATATTCACAGACATATGGAGGGGGGAAAGTCACGGTGCTCTCCAACTGGATTGAGGCAAACTATGAGTTTGAGAGGTCGCCATGTTAGTCTGTTGCAGCAAAAACAGCAAGGCATGTGGTGGCCCTTTAAAGACTAACGGATTTATTAGGGCAAAAGCTTCTCTGAGCTACAGCTCATTTCCTCAGATGCAGATGAAGAAAGTAAAAAAAAGAATCATAGAATCATAGAGCTGGAAGAGACCTCAGGAGGTCATCAAGTCCAGCCCCCTGCCCAAGACAGGACCAAACCCAACTCAATCAACCCAGACAGGGCTTTGTCAAGCCGAGACTTAAACACCTCTAGGGATGGAGATTCCACCACCTCCCTAGGGAACCCATTCCATTGCTTCATCACCCTCCTAGGGAAACAGTATTTCCTAATATCCAACCTAGACCTCTCCTGCTGTAACCTGAGACCACTGTTCCTTGTTCTACCATCCGTCACTACTGAGAACAGCCTTTCTCTGTTCTCTTTGGAACCTCCCTTCAGGGAGTTGAAGGCAAAAAAAGAGAGAATGTGTTATCATCTAGGAAAATTAAAAGCCCGGCTGTGAGGACAGAGAGAGAGTTACATACTAGAAGGCGTTGGAGGAGTGAGCTCCAAGTAAGGGTAATAAAGGTAGTGGCTGACAATATATAAGACAAGAACTCTTATTGCAGAGAGGGAAGGGTGTGAGAAGACCTGGGGTTATTACATAAGAAAATAGCTTCAGACTTAACAATGGAGGGTCTTTGTGTCTCCTCATACTAACTGCACTAGTACAGGTTAGACTCCGGAGTGTGCCAGAATATCACTCAGTGCCTCTGTGGAAAAGTCACATGCTGGAGGATCAGGACCTTAGACTGGAAGGTTTTTGAAGCAGGAAGCTGACAAGCTTTATCTGTAAAGCTCCCTGCACACCTACAGTACTGGATAAATAATCCATGCCTTGTAACAATCAGTATGTTGCAAAATGCTGATTAGAAAGCTTTTTAAAAAAATAATTTCTTTCAAAGAAGTCTGGGTGAACTCAATTAACTTCATTTATTTTTAAGCTAATTTGCTGGGCTGCTATTATATACCAGCCCAGAGAAAAATTAGTGCTCCATTAAATTAAAAAGAAATCCATTAAGTTAGATTCCTGATAAAGGCATCGCCACAAAATTAACAGCATTTACTGGACCTATTAATTTAACAGACTATGTTGTCTATTGAATCAAGATTAAAGTCTTATTTTTTTTCCTTAAAATATTAAAGATTAAAAACTGTTTACTGTGGTACATCCTTCCACTTGCAGCCCAGAATTCATTCCGTACTACTGGACAATGAAAGTGTCACCAAGAGCAAAATTCACTGTGTCGAGAGTGCTATGCACCACTTAAGACTGCAAAATTTATTTTAATAGCGCTTGAGGCTAAGATTTTCCAAATGACTAATGACATTGGGAGGGGCCGCTGTTTGAGGGCCCAACTGGAGATACTGTAGCCCTATCTGATTTTTAGAGAGAGCTAAGCAATCACCATTTGGGGTGGGCACTACTGAGGCACCAGATAGGGCACAATTTTCACACAATCATCACTTTGGTTTAAAATCAGAAGGGATTTTTAAGACTATAATGCATTTTGAATGTTTTTTATTGGCCCTTCTAGAGTTTGAGCCATGCTTCCAACCTTCTCTCAGCAACCATGCAGGTTAGAAAGCTCAATATGACTTGAAATGAAAACTCAGATTCTCATTGAGCCAAATGAAGCCTTTCAAAAAAATAGTGAGGCTCTCAAGGTGTTGATACTGCTGGCACATCCAGTTGGGCACACAGAAACCCAGGTGATCACTAGTCACAGGTGAAACTTTATCTGTCATTTTTCCCTATGGCTGTGTCTACACTGGCATGAATTTCCGGAAATGCTTAAAACAGAACAGTTTTCCGTTATAAGTATTTCCGGAAAAAGAGCGTCTACACTGGCAGGCTGCTTTTCCGGAAAAGCCCTTTTTCCGGAAAAGTATCTGTGGCCAATGTAGACTCGCTTTTCTGGAAAAAAGCCCCGATCGTCATTTTTGCGATCGGGGCTTTTTTCCGGAAAAGACTACTGTGCTGTCTACACTGGCCCTTTTCCGGAACAGTTTTCCGGAAAAAGGACTTTTGCCTGAGCGGGAGCAGCATAGTTTTTCCAGAAAAGCAGCTGATTTCTTATAGTAAATCGTCACTGCTTTTCCGGAAATTCAAGGAGCCAGTGTAGACAGCTCGCAGCTTATTCCGGAAAAGCAGCTGCTTTTCCGGAATAAGTGGCCCAGTGTAGACACAGCCCCCGTGTAATGACAGCACGTCATAGTTATTCAAAACAGAGCCAAAGAGGGAGGTGGTGCCTAAGTTTTATTCTGGTCTTGAGCAAATGAGTGAATTTCACCTTATGCTAGTAAAACAGGAGTGAGGAGGGCTATTTGATTTAATAAAGCTTCCTGTCTTGCAGCTGACATATTCTTTCATTTGAGTTTAATTAAGTTCCATATTTAATTTAAGGATCTGATTTTGTATATTTCAGGGCTGGGGAAGAAGTACAGGCAAATGATGCAGGAGAAAAGTGGCAGATTCATCGTTTCTGTGATGGCGGAGACAAAGTTTAGAAGAGGAGAAAATTATCAGCAGTCTGAAAAACTGATGTAGCAACAAAAATAACCTGTGAGCAGCTTTGTGAGAAAGTGAGGCATCCAGAAAAAGTTCCTCGTGGCATGATTGGTAACTCACCGCCAGACACGCAGGCTATCAGGTCTGATCATCCCCTACTGCTATTTCATGTAACACTTTGCACTATCAATATTCAGTACATGGTTGAAGGCCAGTGGTTTTCTTCTGAGTCTTGTAAAAAAGGAAGAGTTCCAATCTTA